AAACACATCCACAGACACCATCATTACCACCAATACACCACCTTCCCACTACAAACACGACAGTATCTTAGCCTCACTCATCTGATGAACAGCTATCCTCATGAGACTGCCGTGATGCTGATTGAACAAGACAAGTTGTCATACTTGATAACAAACCGTGTGGAAACCAGAAAAGACCACTGTTAGGGCACAAAGGCTATTTATCTAGCTAACCAATGACAGAGACAGATTTGCTGATTTTCATTTAGCACTCATGCAGACTTTATAAAACACAGAGCTAGACAGCAGGGCTAATGCAGCAGAAATTCCGCACTATATACCCCAGGACAACTATTTCAAAGATAAACAGACTTTAGCATACTAAATCCTCCCCACCTGTTTCAAATGAAGAGTGAAATCAGTCAGCAACCAGCCTATTCCAGCCCTGAAATTCATTTGAGAATTCCAAGTGAATCAGTTTAACAAATTTTGACCAGTTGAATGGGCTAGAGTTCTCAAAGCAAAATCTTTCTAAATCTATGGGTTGCAAACTAAGACACATGAAAATTAACTAGAATAAATGCTTAAGAATAAATAGAAAAAAAGGAATGAAAAGAACAGTCACAAATTTCTAATCCCAGAAAAGAAAAAGGGGAAACCACAAGCCCAATGAATATGAGGAGAACAATCAAGTGACACAATGAATTCTAGCCCCACAAACATCCACTTCCCTAAAGGACACAATCTAAAAACACATACACAAAACAGACTGATTAGGCCTGCATTACTAAGAAACTGAATTGCTTATTCTTAACATCCCAAACATCTGAGCCTCAGTATCTGAGTCAGTATGTTCTACCGAACATTCAGGGAGGAAAAGCAAAGGCCTGGACACACAGCTCAGTGTTAGATTACTCCTCAGCATGTAGGAGGCCCTGGACTCAACCTTAGCACCCAGGCACGCATGGCTCACCCCTCCCCCGCTGGTAAGCCTAGCCCATCAGGAAGATGAGATGAGAGAGGCTGAGGTCTAAGTCAGAGGGAATGAGAGTCCTGGGGATCCATCTCCAAGTCCCCAGCAAGATGCCAGACTAGGGGTATGGTTCAACTGAAGACTGCTATGAGTAAGCAAGCTGAGTGAAAGTGAGACCCCAAGTTCAAGCTACAGTACCACCATGCCACACATGGGTGGCTCACGCCTGTAATCCTAGCTACAAGAGGCGGAGATCTGAGGATCTAGGTTCAAAGCCAGCCCTGGCCAGAAAGTCCCTGAGACTCTTTGATAAACTACTCAGAAAAGGCCAGAAGTGGTGCTATGGCTCAAATGGCAGGGTGTTAGCCTTGAGCACAAGGAAGCTCATGGATAGCGCCTAGGCCCTCAGTTCAAGCCCCAAGATCAGCCAAAAATAAATAAAATAAAAAAATAGGGGGGCTGGGAAGGTGGCTCAGTGGTAGAGTGCTTGCCTTGCATGCATGAGGCCCTGGGTTCGATTCCTCTGCACCACATAAGCAAAAAGAAAAAAGCTGGAAGTGGCGCTGCGGCTCAAGTGGTAGAGCGCTAGCCTGAAGCTGAAGAGCTGAGGGACAGCGCCCAGACCCAGAGTTCAGGCCCCACAACCGGACCCAAAAAATAAATAAATAAATAGGGCTGGGAAGGTGGCTCAGTGGTAGAGTGCTCGTCTGTCATGCATGAGGCCCAGGGTTCGATTCCTCTGGACCACATAAGCAGAAAAAGCCGGAAGTGGCCCTGTGGCTCAAAAGCTAGAGCGCTAGCCTTGAGCTAAAGAGCTGTGGGACAGCGCCCAGGCCTAGAGTTCAGGCTCCCGGACGGACCAAAGAAATAAAAAATAATAAGCCGGGCACTGGTGGCTCACACCTGTAATCCTAGCTACTCAGGAGGCTGAGATCTGAGGATCTCGGTTCAAAGCCAGCCCAGGCAGGAAAGACCGTGAGACTCCTATCTCCAATAAACCACCAGAAAACCGGGAGTGGCGCTGTAGCTCAAGTGGTAGAGCGCTCGCCTTGAGCTGAAGAGCTGAGGGACAGCGCCCAGGCCCAGAGTTCAAGCCCCACGACCAACAAAAAGAAAAAAAGTAACTAAATAAGAAGTCATACTTATTCTAAAATCTCTTTCAGAAGGTAGAAGGCTAGGTTAACTTGGCCCATGAGTCCAGCACTAGCCAAATATCAAACTTGGTCCAAAAGATTATAAGACACTACAGACCAACATTTCTTATTAACTGATGCAAAAATCCTCAGCTGAGTACTGGAAAAGCTAATCCCACAATATATGAAAAAGAATCATCCCAAAAATTAGCCTCAGCATGCAAAGCTGGTTCAACATACAAAAATTATGGGCTGTTCATCAACGGGCAAAATATGAAAACGTCAAAAGTAACCTATAGATTCAACACATTATCCCAAATCACAATGTTATTCTTCACAGAAATAGACAAAAAAATTTCACAGGAGGCAAAAGTAACTGGGTAAAAAGCACCATGCTGGAGATACCACAGTAGCAGAATTCAAATTACATAGCAGAGTCCAAGTAACAAAAACAGCTTGGTGGGGGGGGTTGGGGGGGGAGGATTGGGGGGGAAGGATGGGATTGGAAGGGGAAACAAAGGAGGCTACAATGTTTGATAAGAAATGTGCTCATTATCTTGTCCATGTAATTGTAACCCCTCTGTACAGTATTTTCACAATTAAAAATAAATTTTAGGGGCTGGGAAAGTGGCTCAGTGGTAGAGCGCTTGCCTTGCATGCTCAAAGCCCTGGGTTCGATTCCTCAGCACCACATAAGCAAAAAGAAAAAAGCCGGAAGTGGCACTGCGGCTCAAGTGGTAGAGTGCTAGCCTTGAGCTGAAGAGCTGAGGGACAGCGCCCAGGCCCGAGTTCAGGTCCCACGACCGGACCCAAAAAAAAAAAAATAAATAAATTTAAAAAAAACCCAGATTGGCATGAAGAGACAGATATGAAGATCTATGGAATGAATCCCAGGCATAAAACCACACTGCGGCTGGGCAACAGCTGGACCCTAGCTACTCAGGAGACAGAGATCTAAGGACTGAGGTTCACAGCCAGAGACTCTGATCTCCAAACAACTAGCAAAAGAGAGGTGTAGCTCAAGTGGTAGAGTAATTCATGGACAGTCATTCATGAGAAAAAAAGCTGAGCAAGAGTGCAGGAGGTACTGAGTTCAAGCCCCAGGACAAACCAAAATTAAAAAACAACCAGCCAGGTGCTGGTGGCTCCCACCTGCTATCTAGTTACTCAGGAGGCTGAGATCTGAGGATGGCAGTTATAAGCTGCCTGGGGAAGGAAAGTCCATGAGACTATCTTTAGTTAGTAACCAAGAACCCAGAAGTAGAGCTATGGCTCAAGTAGGAGAGGGCAAACCTTGAGCTTTTAAAAAAGCTCAGGGACAGTCCCAGGCCCTGAGTTCAAACTGAGAACTGACATGAGCGTGTGCACATACATATACACACACACACACACACACACACACACACAAAATTATGGTATCTCAATCAGGTCACATAAGTCTGAAGTCTAAGTATGGCTTTTGTATTTTTCATGTAAACAACACTTTTACCTATATTAATTGCAATCACTTCAAATATGAAGCTCCCATAAACATTAGAAGTAGTTGCTTCTGGAAGTGACTAGAAAAGTGAAAGGGATAGAGAGCGGACTGTTCTCTATAAACCTACAATTATTACTCGACTTTGGTCCTATACATTTACAGTGCTTAGATACAAATGCTCCTTCATGTCAGGTCCTTACAATTAGCTGACAAGTCAAAGGGCCTACCTTGGGGTGAGGAGCCGGGATGCTCCTGAGGAAGGACCCCCAAGTAGCTGAGCACAACATACTTTGTCTCGTAGTGAAACCCCAGAGGCACCGTAGCAGAGGACGCCATTGAATCGGTCGGTAGAACTCCCAAGAGGTCTGTCACAGATGTTTAAAGCCTAAGAACATAAAAGGGTTTTTTTCACTTTCAAGGTTATTAGATGGCAGTATATTTTCCCTCCATTGATTCCAATAATTAACTAATTACCAAAAAAATGCTTCAGGCTTCTCTTTGTAGTCATTTTTTAAAATGTAACTTAATTTACATATAAGCAGCAATTATTCAGGTTTTATAAACCAAAGGCAAATTTCTTTCTTTTTCCTTCTGTACTTTCACCTTGGTGGACAATATGCAACACCCTTTAGCCACCTCAGTGTATATCATTCAAGAAAATCAGGAGAGGCTGGGAAGGTGGCTCAAGGGTGGAGTGCTTGCCTTGCATGCATGAGGCCCTGGGTTCGATTCCTCAGCACCACATAAGCAGAAAAAGCCGGAAGTGGTGCTGTGGCTCAAGTGGTAGAGTGCTAACCTTGAGCTGAAGAGCTGAGAGGCAGTGCCCAGGCCCAGAGTTCAGGCCCCATGACCCAGCAAAAAAAAAAAGGAAATCTGGAGACTCTCAGATCAAAGCCAGCTAAGACTCCAATCAACCAGAAAAGGCTAAAGACATGACTCAGTGGTAGAACAACAGCCACAAGCAATCTAGCCAGCAAGAGTGCAATGCACTTAGTTCAAGGCCCAGTGCTAGTCTTGAGCAAAAGAAGCTCAGGGACAGCGCCCAGACCCCGAGTTCAAGCCCCAGGACTGAAAAAAAAAAAAAAAGAGGAAAGATGTAGAGACTGAGGTAGAGTAGGCCTTAGCTACAGAACGTGGGTGGAGGGGGTCCCGCCAGTCCTTTCCTCTGCCACTCCTAAAATCTTCCCAGCAAGTCTTCCTACTAAAATATCATAGCATCTGAAACCTGCTGCACTCAAGACTGTCTGTCTTCTGCATGAAAAAGGAAAGCGACATAAAGTTATTCAAATCAATAATAATTTCGGGACTCTTAACCTTGCTCTCTACGAGCTTAGTGTCAACATAGTAAAACAGATCTAGCTCTAGATTGAAGGGTTAAGTTATAAATTGTAAGAAAGGTATAAAACGCTCTAGGAACATATTGCTTAAAGAGAAGGTAGGGGCAGGACCTCAAACAGAAGGAAGAAGGTGGAGAAGAGATGAATCAATGTTTCCTTCTTCAAATCAGGGCCACACCAGTCCCAAAGAAGGACCCCCGTTCTGGCTATAAACCTTCTTAGGTAGGGGGAAGCAGTTTTGTAAGTGGATCTTGACATCAGTGAGTTAAATGACAGAGACAATACAGGATGCAGATGCAAGCGTACCTTTTCTTTAGTTCTGTACCTAAAGATGGCCTTGAACTTGAATGCTTCCTGCATACCCCAAGTGCTGGGATTACAGGTATGTGCCATCACACTAGCCTCTCTTTTTTTTTTTGCCAGTCATGGGGCTTGAATTCTGGGCCTGGGCGCTGTCCCTCAGCTCTTCAGCTCAAGGTTAGCACTCTAGCTGTCCCTCAGCTCTTCAGCTCAAGGTTAGCACTCTATCACTTGAGCCACAGTGCCACTTTCAGTTTTCTGGTGGTTTGTTGGAGATAAGAATCTCATAAACTTTCTGGCTGGCTTTGAACTACAATCCTCAGATCTGTGTTTCCTGAGTAGCGAGGATTACAGGCGTGAGCCACTGGTGCCCAGCCTCTATTCTCTTTTAGTAGCAAGGCCCCCTAAATTCTTATCCAGGCCCAGGACCACACAGCTACATACTACATGCTCCAATTTTTTTTTTCAGCTTAATGTACTAAATGGCTAGTCTGAAACAATGAAATAGAAGTCATATTGTAGTGCGTCAGGCTACCGGCTATTCTTAAAAAGTTCACCTGTTGGGCTGGGAAGGTAGCTCAGTAGTAGTGCTTGCCTTGCATGATGAGGCCCTGGGTTCGATTCCTCATTACCACATAAGCAAAAAAGGCTGGAAGTGGTGCTGTGGCTCAAGTGGTAGAGCACTAGTCTTGAGCTGAAGAGCTGAGGGACAGCGCCCAGGCACAAAGTTCAGGCCCCACGACCAGCAAAAAAAAAAAAAAAGTTCACCTTTTGGTCTAGGTTTGCAGTAGAATACAAACCAATACCAACAATACATACAAACAATACATGCTCAGCGTGGGCAAGTCCCCGGGTTCAACAATCAGAAAAATTTTTAAAAATTAAAAAAGAATTGGAGGGGCTGGGAGGGTGCTCAGTAGTAGAGTGCTTGCCTAACATGCCCGAGACCCTGGGATCAGTCCCTTGGTACTACATAAACAAGAAATAAAGTTCAAAAAATGCAAAATAAACAAAAAAATGGATGCTGGTGGCTCCTGTCTATAATCCTAGCTACTCAGAAGGCTGAGGGCTGGAGGGTCACTGCTCAAAGCCAGCCCAGGCCAAAAGAGGAAAAACAGTAGTAGATAGAACATCAGGTCCATAGAACAACTGAGAGGTGTGGCCCTCTTACTAAGCACAAGCTCTGGATCCCAGTTATCTTAGCTTCAGAATAACACGTCTCCAGTAGGCTAGGATAAAAGCATCTAAGCAATACTGTGGTTTGAACTCAAGTTCTGGTGATTGCTAGTCATCCCCTAACCCTTTTGTCTTATTTTTCAAGTAGTAGCTCCAAGTTTTTACCTGGTTGAGCCTCAGGTGTTGAAATCCAATACTACCAAAATAGAAAACACACAAGCAAAAAACAACAGACTAAAAAAAACAGAGGGGCTGGGAAAGTGGCTCAAGGGGTAGAGCGCTAGCCTTGAGCTGAAGAGCTGAGGGACAGCGCCCAGGCCCAGAGTTCAGGCCCCACGACCGGACCCCAAAAAAAATAAAAATAAAAATAAACCAGACAGGAACTTTCTGTAGAAGCATATAGTAAAATGAAAGCCAAGGAATCTGCTACGGACTGAAGACTGGTTTAAGAGGATTACTAACTCAGCAAGCATAAACAACAGCCGTATGGGAAGAAACGCCACCTTCCTTTTTGTTCCAAAAGACCTACGATATTTTAACAATACCCGCACACGGGGCTCTATGAAACCCTAAACGCCTATGCGCCTTCTGTTCACGAATTTCTTTTTTCTGGAGAGGAAATGACTTTTTCTTTCATTAGCTACTCTTGCTGGACCGTAACCCAACACCAGTAAAAAACAACACAGCCACCACCACAGAGCCCTAAGCGCCTCCGGGAAGGGGGGCGCCGTAGCAGAGGCGTTCACCTGTCCTGAGGCGTGGGAGCCGGGCAGAGGGGCGGCTCGGGGTCAGCCAGGTGCGGGGAGCGCCGCAGGGCCTGCCCGG